CTGAGTAACATTGATGTGCATAAATTTCAAGAACGGTTGTATGCTGGGTTGAGCTGCGCATAGAAAAATGAATATATTTGGTTTTGTCCGTATTCAGTGTTAATATGTTTTGTTGGAGCCATTTATTAACTCTATCAAAACCTTGCTGAGCATATAAATAAACCTTGTCCACTGTATTTGCGGAAAAAAGTAGCACGGTATCATCTGCGTAAGATATTATTTTACCTGAGTTAAGTTCAAGATTGCAAAGGTCATTTATATAAATCAAAAATATCTCAATCTATGTTATAAGTCGAAGCCACCTTGACTATGGATGTTTTCTCTTGGAGCCTTGCAATAAATCATCCCTGAAAGTTGTGGACAAAATTCAATCAAAATGTCTTCGCATTTTACAGGGGCAATGAAGTCCTCACCAATAAATGTTCTTCAGGTTGAGTGCGTAGATCCACCTTTAAGATTGAGAAGGCAATACCTTTCAGGCAGATTCCTATTTAAGATTCCAGATCATCCTCTAATTCCTAAATTGCATCTTCTTTCAGAGTATATCTCATCTAAACATTTTTGGATCCATAAGGATTCTCACTGCTTGTTTAAAAGTTTCGTAATTTTACTTCAGCTTCCTTACCCAAACTTTCAATGTAAAATAAATCCACTCTTTGATGTTGCTTACGAGTATTTATGTGATATATGTATGTTAAGAAAACGGTCACCCATCTATGGACTGACCGCGGCAAGTGCAGCTTAATCTCGCAGATCTATTGATCCACGTAGCTATTACTTAACTACAAGCTCCTCTTCTCTACTACAAATGCTTTAGGCGACGAACCATGCTATTAAGCCCTCGGCACACTGTCGTCGGCCATCAAGCGAAAAACACTGAAGCGGCACTTCAGGAGCATTACTAAATATCTATACCTAACTACGCTATGTTTTATCATTGTGACTTGCGAATTTAATCCGAAGCTCCGCTCAAACCTTTGGGGATAATAGCGTGATGCTATGAATATTGTATTAGTATGATGACCGTGAGATGCGGGTGGTTAAGTAAGATTATACATTTTTTCGGTTAATAAATAGATACTAAATTGTGTTCATAATGGCTTAAATAGGATAATCTCACGATTTTTAATCTTTAACTTTTAAATCTATCTCTATTTTTATCTAAAGTTTTTGAAGTTAAATTTTTTAGTCTTTTTATATCAATATTATAATTACTGGTAAAATAATGTAGAAATGGCTTCTTTTATTAAAATTGTTTTATTCTTCTTTTTCTTTGATACTTCTCAAGAAAATGTTTGTTGCACACTGTTGAGTTGTTCTTTGGATTCCAACCAACCCGCCCAATTAACATTAACCATTTATTTCTAATTATAGCATTCGGATCGAATCTGTTTGAAAAACGTTAAAATAAAATTACACAAACCCAGCATTAATTTTCATTCCACTTCTTGTTGTGTGGGCAAGTCTATCGACTCATTATAAACATTGAAGACAAATATTCAGATATAGTTGAGTCAATCCCTCGCGTACATGTAAAATATTTTGTATAAAATATATTTCACAAATTCATGCAAATTATCAACCACGTGACTTTTTCTTTGCAAAGTATCAAAATATTGAAAACATACTATATTTTAAACAGTTAATAACATACATTTTAACCAAAACTAGACACGTTTTATTATTGACGACGTCGTGAGAATTTAACTGTGAAATGTGCGATTATCAGGCTTGTTTCTATTATTAATACCATAGTCACTTTACAAAAAATGACAATTACTTACAAAAAATAATAGCTATCATATTATACTCTAAAAATTACAAAATATCTAGGAGCTTATTTCTTACGTGCCGACTTGTGCCGACTTGTCATTCAAAATCGGTTACAAAGTCGTGAGATTTGCTATCCTTTTCTAATTTGCTACACTACTCTAAGATTGCCATAAGGAATTTTTTTCTCACATGCATATTATATCCGTCTATTACTATCCTAATATGATCTAATATGGTCTATGATCTGGTTGTAACCAAAATTTACTTAAACGAATCGATTTAGATATTTCGTAAATTGTCTGTGCCTGATGTACCTATGTAAAGTCTAACTACAGACTTTTCATTTCATTCTCCTCAGTATAAAATATAAATCTACAAAATCTTCAAATTCGGTCACAAATTAGGTAATTATTTTTGTTATTATATCGCTTAGAGTAATAACATACATATTATGTATAACATTATTCATTCATTTTCAAGGATTTATGTACTAAATTAATTAAACGAATATAAAAAAATAAAAGGTACATTTTTGTTAGATATTCAGGTGCGTGACAATGCAGTACATATGAATAACAAATAATATACTTTATTAAATTAATACAAATGCATGAAGTCAATAAATTGACATAATATTGTGATAAAATGTCAATAAATAAAACAAAATTAATATTTTATTTAAAAAATATTTTTATTCGTAGTAATAGTAAAGTATTATTACAATGTTAAAAAACACCTTATGACACAAAACGATTTTATTTATTATAAATAAAAATATCTAAATCATACCGAATAGTATTCAAATAGGTAAGTGATAACGTTGTGTCAGTATGTGGCATATAGGTTATAGGAGTTTCTGTTTATGATTGAAGTACATCCTACTCGTGCATTGTAGTTAGCAGCTTTTCCGAATGCTGAACACACGACGAGTATTTCATAGCATTTGAAAGGGAAAAATTGAAAGCTCAATTGTTGCGCTGAATGAAAGGTAAGTCAATTTTGAATAGTGCATTTATTTTTACTAAAAGTCCTTCTTCCAGCGTAGTATCGTAACGGATGTTCTTCCACGTTTATAGTGTATTTTTTTTAATGAAAATTACAATTTATGTTTAATGCTGCATGGGTTACGCCAGGCTACTTTGCGTCGTTTGTCATATATAGCTTTTCTATAAGAGCGCCACTACTCATAAAACATAGATCGTACATCAAGATAGCAACGTTCTACACAGTGATTATTATATTAATATCAACAAATTTAACGAACAGGCATACAGATTTGGCCTGGTAAGAGTCTTGTTATGGCATTGAAGCATTGAACACAAGAGTTGTAATTATTTCATTTTGATGTCAACAATTATGTACATGAATTTTTTGAAGTAAAAACTTCAAAGAAAATTTCATTCTATTTAAATTATGGAAAGCTATGTTGTGCACTTTAAAAATCACTAAACCTGATTGGCATGCTCAGATATGTGTGTGGGTGTGTTTTTTTTATAGGATTTAGTGACAAACGAGCACCCAGTCCACCTGATGATAAGTGGCTGCGTGTGTGTGCGGTCCATAGACATCTACATCCATCCTCGATTACAAATCAAAATGCAGATGCGTTGTCACCCGTGAGGACTAAGATGGAATGCCTCGTTTCCAGTAAAAAAGGTATCCGGTTGTCTACACTCACCATACTGAACACAGCAGCATTAAGCTACTATTTTACGCTGGTATTCTGTGAGAGTGTGGTCCTTCCCTGGTCGAGCCGACCCATTCGGCATTGTTTTGGTTTTGAAATGGGCTCAGCCATATTTTTTTCGCTTGTGATTATTGTAGAGAATCCATTTTTCATTAGATATCACAACTCCGTCTCAAATCTCGTCATTTCTATTACCTACTCATCAAAGCAAGGAATCTTTAACGCCTTTGCATGTCAGTTAATGTAGGGACCCTTTTAATGATTTTATTTTATTTTATCAGTTTGGTGCAAAAGAAGCCATATCGTGGTAAGCTGATTGACTGAATAAGGTGTGAATTTAGTGTGACTAATGTTTCTTTTTCAACAGTTTATGGAGTGTATGTCATAGCAAAAAGCGTTTATTTTATATGGTCTATAGTGTCTGTCTTTTAATATGCAGTTGAAAGTTAAATACAGTTTGCTTAATAAACAAACTTAAGAAGTTAAAGAATTACTTTATATAGAAGAAGAGTAATAAATGTTCGCGGCTATGTTGTGCGGTTAGGCCACTATTTGGCTTATATTACTAGATGGTTTAGTTTTGGCCCATTGCATCTACTTTCTATCTTACATTTCGTAATCTACTTACTGCTAAATAAACTAATAATAAGTAACTGATAAAATACATTACTACTGAAGACTTTAAAAAAAATATGCGTGCAATTGTGTATCACTAACTTATTTCTACAAGAATTTTTACCTAGAAGTCCGTCTGAATTGGCTGGCACATCATACCTATTTGTACCGCAAAAGAACATTACATTCATTACTGTGTTTAGGTTTAAAGGATTGTCCTTCAAAAGTCATGAGAGAGAGAGAGAGAGAAAGAAAGACGGAGGATTATACGAACTTGATGATTGTTAAGTTAAGAATAGTCTTTTAAAGCTTTTACTGATAGGTTTTACAGCCTGTGCGGTAGTTATTTTTGCCTACAGAGGTGATTTTTGTAATTAAGGCTTTCTTTATTTGAAGTTAGTTATATGCTTCCATGGTCAGCAGTAATCTCTTATTATCCTATAAGAAGTTATCCCGTCTGTCACTCTAAAAAGATACTATTTAAGCAATAACTTTTTTACTATAGTAATATATTTATACCTTCTTATTCTTCTTTTCTTATATATAAAAATCAATCGTTGTCCGTTAGTCTCGATAAAACTCGAAATCGGCTAGAACGATTTCGATGAACTTTTTATGTGTATTTGAGTAGGTCTCTGGATAATAATAATAATAATAATAATAAATGGCGTAGGGAAGTGACGACCCCATCGCCCGTTGACGTGACGGTTATGTGACAAAACCGCTACGTCCGCGCAGTCAGTCAGCACCTTGCCAAGAGGTGTGAGCGCCGTGCCTCGGCAAAAATTGATGGTGCAAGGGCCCGCTTGTGCATATGGCCTCACCATGAAACGGCGCCGGGTCTGGGCGTCTCCCGTTAAATGACGCCCACACTATGGATGATGGAATACGGAAGAACGCGCAAAGGGCCGCTGCCTGGAGGTCGTCAGGGCGCGTCTGGAGCTGGCGCTGGACGCGGCAGCATGCGAACCGCCAGCCGAGCGCGAGGTGCTGCACGACCACCCAGCAGCCCCTCGCATCCATCATCCCCACCAGCTTGCTTGGTGTCGGCAGGGTCTTCGCGGGCCCAGCAATCGGCACCCGCCACTGGTGGAGTACGCCGCATGCGATGGACCACCAAGATGAATTCACAACGCATTGCGGGCGTATTTTAGGGCGAAAGGGGGAGAAATTGGATGTTTTGCGTATCGGGCTAGGATGCATCGTCTTTTTGCTGAGCTGGAGCCATCTTTTACTGTCACCGAGCAAAACCTGGCAGACCGAGTTGGGTATATCTTGCGCGCAAATATATTTGATGTCGCCGAACTCGAACGGCTACGACGTGAGGCTGTTCCCTCATCGAATGAGAATGCTACGGCTGAGGGTGCGGCGCCACAAGTTGCAGAACAACCCGCACACGTGGATGCCGCCGTGAATACCCCAGTGGTGGCTGATTCAAATGATGATGGAACATTCGCCCAGGAACTGGAAATAGAGCATATGAGGAGTACATTGGAAGAGGCGATTATGGAAACGCGCAGTACGCCTCTCGAAAATCGACCGCGACTTCCCCGCATAGCCCTAAGCAAGCGGAATCGGGCTGTCGTGAGGGCTCTGAACCCAATGCTGGTGACCTATTTGGAAGCCAGCCGGGACCTTTGCGAGACGGACTCAATTCTTTTTGGCGCCGCGCTGGCAGTCTGCCGTATTATAGGCGCCAAACTTTCCACGGCTGGACGCGCTACTGGCCAAAGTAGTGCTATCCCAGCCTGGAGAACAAGAATCGAGGAACGTATCGCAAAGGCTAGGGCCCTCATCGGCAGACTGATATGCTTCAGGTCAGGCAATAACAGGCCACGGATTGTGCGCACCGTCAGGATGGCGTTTGCTGGGACAAATGTCAGTTTGTCCCAGCCGGATATAATGCAAAAACTGACGGAGCGCATAGACGACCTGAAGCAGAGAATCGCTGCTTGGGGAAAGCGAATTCGGCGATATACCGAGAGGTCGACACGGTTCAACCAGAATCGTCTCTTCCAGAGTGATCAGAAGAGGCTCTATGAATCATTGGAGCGACCAATGGTAAGTGGAACGGGCCCAGTACCGAATCAGGCCGACACTGTCGCATTCTGGCGCGGCCTGTGGTCAGAGCCCGTAAACCACAGCGAGGGCCCTTGGACCGAAGTTGTAGCGAGTCAGTGTGCGAGTATTACGCCCTTGGACCCCGTCACCATAACGCCGGATGACGTAGCTGAGGCGGTCCGTAGGACCCCGAACTGGAAAAGTCCGGGGCTCGACGGGCTGCATCACTACTGGCTGAAGGGGTTCATGGTGTGTCACTCTGTGCTCGCCCGACAGTTTCAAGAGGCTCTCAACCAGAGGTCGCTCCCGAGCCTCTTCACTACTGGGATCACCCATTTGGTTCCTAAAGGCCAGGGTACCACAGACCCGAGCAAATACCGCCCCATCACATGTCTACCGACCATATACAAGACACTAACATCCATTTTGAGCGCGAGAATCACTCGTCACCTGGACTCAAATCAGGTGATGTCGCGCGCTCAAAATGGATGTCGGGGCGGCGGTCGTGGAACCAAGGAACCACTCCTCATTGACGCGGTCATTGGCAAAGTGGTGAAACGCAACCGTCGGAACTTCTCCGCCGCCTGGATAGACTACAGAAAGGCATTCGACTCGGTGCCCCATACATGGCTAAAGAGAGTCCTCGAGCTGTACAAGATAGACTGTACAGTTAGAGACTTCCTCGAGCAGTGTATGGGGCAGTGGAGTACGATCCTTTGTCATCTGGGCGAGCGGATGATGGCTGCGGAGAACCACATAAGGATAAGAAGGGGTATCTTCCAGGGCGATTGTCTGAGTCCAATCTGGTTCTGCCTCTCTCTGAACCCTCTCAGTACCTTACTGGAGGGCTCCGGGAGGGGATTTCAGCTACGGAAAGGAGGGACAAAAGTGACCCACCTTTTCTATATGGATGACCTCAAGTTATTCGCCTCCAGTCGCTCCCATCTTATGGAATTGCTAAACATCACTTGTGAATTTAGCAATTCCATTGGAATGGAGCTGGGGACGGATAAGTGTGCGGTCCTCCATGTTGAAAGGGGAAGGGTTGCTAACTCTGAGGGCGTAGACTTATCTATGCCCGTCAACTTAAGGACCCTTTCCGAGGCTGAAACATACCGATACCTGGGTATGTCACAGAACATTGGTATCGATGAGGCTGGTATGAAACAGTCAGTTTGCGACGTGTTTTATGCACGCTTGACCAAAGTGCTTAACAGCCTTTTGTCCGGTGTGAATAAGGCACACGCATATAACGGCTGGGTCATGCCTGTCCTCATGTATACCTTTGGCATACTCAGGTGGACTCAGACTGAACTTAACGCCCTGGATAGAAAAGTCCGCACTACCATGACGTCCCACAGGATGCATCATCCGAGATCGTCGGTAATGAGGCTGTACTTGCCGCGGAAGCATGGTGGTCGTGGCTTCTTGAGCGCGCTCACCATGCATAATCGCGAAGTGTGCAGCCTCCGTAATTACTTCCTGGCGAGATCGGATGATCCATTCTATAAGGACGTCATTTCTTGTGATAAAGGACTTACCCCTCTATCCTTAGCCAACGAGCAATGGCAAGACCCGGCAGTGCAGACCATTTCCGACCGGGAGACCGTATGGAAGGAGAAGGAGCTCCACGGGAGGTTCTACAAGGCTCTACATGAGCCTTTCGTAGACACAGTAACCTCTCTCCACTGGCTACGCTTTGGTGACCTCTTCGGGGGAAACCGAGGGTTTTGTCTGTGCAATACAGGATCAGGTTATTAAGACCAACAACTATCGGAGATACATCCTAAAGGATGGCACCGTCGACATCTGTCGAGCTTGTCGCCATCCCGGTGAGTCACTTAGGCATGTCATCTCCGGTTGTTCGGCGCTTTCTAACTCTGAGTACTTGCACAGGCACAACCTAGTAGCCAGAATTCTACACCAGGAGCTCGCTCTGAAATACGGTCTCGTGGACCGGAAATTGCCGTACTACAAGTACTTGCCGGAAGCCGTGCTCGAAAATGATCGCGCCAGGCTCTATTGGGACCGGGCCATCATCACAGACAGGACTATTCTTGCGAATAAGCCTGATATTGTGCTGATGGACCGGGCACAGTCAAGGATATTTTTGGTCGACATTACCATTCCGTATGACGAGAACCTCGTGAAAGCCGAAACAGATAAGCAAACAAAATATCTGGACCTGGCTCACGAGGTGACCGACATGTGGGGTGGTCTGCCGACCGAAATTATTCCTGTAGTCGTCTCTGCAAACGGGCTAATCCCAGTCAGCCTCTCGGGTCATCTGAGGCGGCTGGGACTACGTGGCGGACCGCTCCAGGCTCAAATGCAGAAGGCGGTGCTCCTCGATACCGCCCGCATCGTCCGCCGGTTTCTTTCCCTTTCCCCCTAACCCTCGGCCGTTTGGTCTCCCCTGCCGAGGGCCTCCATCTGGTTGGGCTTTTATTTATTTATGTACTTTTATATTTATTTTATTTTATTGATATTTATGTATATTAATCTTTCCATTTTCATTTATAATTATATATTTATAGAACCCAACCAGATGAGAAAACTATATAGATACCCCATAATAATAATAAGCCACTTACAAGTCTAACCCCACGTCCGAGCTTAACACCTACGCTCACGTGAGTGGCGGACACCCGCAACGAAGGTACTTTGTGAGTGACCAACGGGGCTCTAGCACACCCATCAATATGGAGTTGCGAAATAGAAGTATCTAGTAAAGGACCGCTTCCCGAGGGCAATCGTCGGGGCGCGCCTGGAGCCGGTACTGGGCGTTTCAGTATGCGAACCACCGGTGGCGAGGGTTTACCTGGACGGCCCTCTGCCGGGTCTCCCGAACAATGCGAGTTCAGCGCATCATCAGCACTAACACCGTCTGATGAATACAAGTGCGATAGTAAAGCAGTCTCTCCGGCCTCGGATGTTTCACGGGCGGCAAGGGCACCTCAACCTGTGACCACCAAAGCTGGCAAACCTAGAGTGCGCATGAAATGGAATGAAGAAATAAATACTTTCATTATGCGCACTTACTTTTACATTACCAAATTAGAAACCGATCGCACTATGGACGTTAAGAAATTATTTGATCAATTTCAATTAAAATATCCTCATATAAATGTCACATCTCAACGTATTGCAGACCAGAGACGAGTAATAATAAGAAATAAATTGTTATCTGATGAACAAATCAAAAGTATAAAGCAACAAGCAGCTAAAATAATTGAAAACGAGAAAGCTGAGAATAATATTTCGGACTCACGTTCAGATACAAGAGACACCAATCATATGACGGCGGGTAATTCAAATCTCGACCTTTTTAGCCGTCGTCAGTCATCTCCGCCCTCTTCCTTATTCGAAACTCAATCAATTACTTTAAAATCCGATTCTGCAACACAAACTCTATCAATGAGCTGCACGGCTCAAACTAGTATTTTAAGTGTTTCACAACCAGCTGAAATAAATCTCCCAGATGATGGTTTAGTACAGAAGTTAACCAACGAACTGAAGACTAATCTAGCATTGTATACTGGTACGGACCCCAACATAAGACCCAAACTGCCGCGATTGAAAGAAAATAAGCAGCTATATAGTTTACTTAACATTTTTAATAGTCATATACTACCCAAATTCTATAGTATTGATTCTGAGATACTACATATTCATACCCTCATATATTGTTCAGCTTTAGTTATCTCAAAACTATTAGGATATAAAATTTCAAACGACCCCTTAAAAAAGCGAAATTCATTTAACAATAAACCGGCTTGGCAAATAAGATTAGAAATAGATATATCTATCCTGCGCGCTGATGTGGCTAGATTAACACAATTTATTAACAATAATAGACATCCTCGATTAGTTAAGAAAATTGATTTAATATTTGATAAATATAAAGTTCATTCAACTTATGATAAAAATAATATTAGACCAGCTGAATTTTTAGACACTCTAAAACAAAAACTTGCACTTAAAACCCAAAGACTAGCCAGATACAAAAAAGCCCTACAGAGAAAAGAAGACAATAGGCTTTTTCAGACTAATGAAAAAGGATTTTATAGGATGCTCAAACATAATATAAGTAATGTATCCAATGAACCCAAGGAAGTACCAACTGAAGAAGAACTTAAAAACTACTGGACTGAAATATGGAAGAAAAATAATGAACATAATGAGCAGGCAAGTTGGATCAATGAAGAAGAAAATAAAGCAGAAGCTATTGAATTGATGGAATTCACAGAAGTTACTAAATTAGATATTGAACATGTAACCAAAAAAAATGAAAAACTGGAAAGCTACTGGACCCGATAATGTTCACAACTTTTGGTATAAAAAATTCTCGGCCCTCCACGATATTTTAGCGAAAATTATTACAGATATATTAAAAGGCGCATCAGAGATCCCATCATTTGTAACCGTAGGTACTACTTTCATGATTCCCAAAAGTGATAAAACAGCAGATCCCTCGCAGTACCGACCGATTACGTGTCTCCCAACTATATACAAACTAATAACCTCTTGTATAACACTAAAAATAAATACGCATTTAACACATAATAAAGTATTAGCGGAGGAACAAAAAGGATGCAGACAGAATCACAGAGGATGCAAAGAACAACTCATTATCGACTCGATAGTAATTAAACACGCTACCTCTCACAACCGTAATCTTAACCTAACATATATTGATTATAAGAAAGCATTCGACAGTGTACCTCACTCTTGGCTGATACGAGTTTTGCAAATTTATAAAATCAACCCGGACATTATTTCTTTCCTGGAGAGAGTTATGGGTACTTGGAAAACTAAATTACACCTTAATGACGGCAGTAAGACCATAGTCACAGACGATATACCAATCGCTAATGGCATTTTCCAGGGAGATTCATTGAGTCCACTGTGGTTTTGTCTGGCTCTTAACCCTTTATCTTCTTTACTCAACAAAAACAATCATGGATATAAATTAACTAAAGACACCTATGTTAATCATTTAATGTATATGGACGATATAAAACTTTTTGCCAAATCAGAAAAAGAAATGAACGCCCTCATAAAAATTACAGCTGAGTTTAGTAAAGATATAAACATGACCTTTGGTTTTAATAAATGTAAAACGCTTAAACTTCATAAAGGTAGAGTCAATAGTAGTACAGAAAGTCAATACGATATGTTTAAATTGATGGACGAAAATGATACATATAAATATCTAGGCTTGCGTGAAGGAAGATGTATAGACCATACTGCTATTAAAAAGGACCTTAGTAATGAATATTTACGTAGGTTGAATCTAGTTTGTAAAAAGCAACTTAATTCTAGAAATTTATTCAAAGCTATTAACACTTTTGCCATCCCAATACTTACCTATTCTTTCGGAGTAATTAAATGGTCAACTACAGATATACGAAATCTTGAAATCAAAACTAGGACTACCATAACTAAACACAAATATTTGCATCCTAAATCGGCAATTGAACGACTTACGATAAAAAGAGCTATAGGAGGCAGGAGTCTAATCGATCTTAAAAGGTTATGGGAAGGGCAAGTCAAAAACCTGCAATCTTTCTTTTATGAAAAATCAGCTAATAGTCCGTTACATCAAGCAGTCATTGAATCCGATAACAATTATACCCCTCTAAATCTAAGTAATCAAGGTAATAGATCTACTACAGTAATTGATCATGAAAAAGGAAAGCTATCAAAGTGGCGTAGTAAAGAATTACATGGTAGACATGCACACGATTTAGAACAACCTCACATAGACTTGCTGGCTTCAAATAAATGGTTAAAAATAGGTTCTCTTTTCCCCGAAACCGAAGGTTTTCTTATTGCCATTCAGGATCAAGTAATCAATACAAGAAACTATAAAAAATACATATTAAAAGACCCAAACATGCAGAACGATAGTTGTAGAAAATGCCACCGCCAACCCGAAACTATACAACATATTACCGGTGCTTGTCCCAGCCTAGTACAAACTGATTACACCCACCGTCATAACCAGGTTGCTAATTACGTTCATCAAAAACTTGCAAATAAACACAATTTAATCCCGAACCAAAAACTACTGCCGTACTATCAGTATACCCCCAAACCTGTTCTGGAGAGCGACAGTCACAGAATGTACTTTGATAGAGCTATTCTTACCGATAAAACAATTCATTACAATAGACCGGATATAACTTTAATTGATAAATTAAATAAAACAGTATATCTAATTGATATAGCGATCCCAAATACCCATAATATACAAAAAACCATTACTGAAAAAAATCATAAATACACAGAATTAAAAGAAGAAGTAACTAGAATCTGGAAAATGAACAAAGTATATATTGTACCGCTGGTTCTCTCCAGTACTGGTGTGATCCCGAAATGTTTGTCTCTCTCCCTTAAACGATTAGATCTTCCTGAAAATAGTTATATTACCATGCAAAAAGCAGCCATCCTCAACACGTGCCGTATAGTCCGAAAATTTTTGCAAGAAGACATCTCGGATTTTGATTCCCAAATGGATGCGCACTTGGCTTAGGCCCGTGAACATCTCTTAAAAACCAAGATTTTACAAAATCTTGAGAAAGAAAAAAGAATAATAATAATAACGTACTCATTCGGAGTTATAAAATGGTCCAAAACTGATGCAGAACAATTAGAGCGAACTACACGTACAACACTCACGAAACACAATAACCTACACCCTAAATCCGCCATAGAGAGACTAACAATAAAACGAGAACATGGAGGGAGAGGCCTAATGGATATCCAGCACTTATGGCGGAAACAAGTTAGTCGATTAAAATCATTCTTCTATACAAAATCCCATACTAGCAATATTCATAAAGCCATCGTAACGAATGATATTAACTACACTCCACTTAACTTAAGCAATCAGATTGAATCCCAAAACACTACTAGTGATAACCCACAGACACACAAAATTGACGAATGGAAGAAGAAAGTTCTCCACGGTCGGCACCCTCATGACTTAGAGCAATCCCACATAAATAAGTTAGCTTCAAATAAGTGGCTGAAAATAGGCAACTTATTTCCAGAAACAGAAGGATTTATAATAGCTATTCAAGACCAGATCATAAACGCAAAAAATTACAGAAAATATATAATCAAAGATCCTACAGTAAATAATGACAAATGTCGCAAATGCCACATACATCCAGAAACCATTCAACACATCACAGGCGCATGCACAACTCTCACACAGACTGACTACACTCACAGACACAATCAGGTGGCCGATGTCATTCATCAAAAACTAGCACTCAAACACGCACTCATTCCAGATGCCAACACTCCGTACTACAATTATACACCAAAACATACTCTAGAAAACACCACACATAAACTTTTTTACGACCGCGGCATTCTCACCGATAGGACAATCCACTATAACCGACCAGATATAATTCTACAAGATAAAATAAATAATATTACTTACCTGATAGACATTGCAGTCTCCAACACACACAACTTGCAGAAGACGATAACTGAAAAAATTTGTAAGTACGCAGAACTTAAAGATGAAGTGACTAGAATCTGGCAACAAGAAAAAGTATATGTGGTCCCTATAGTCCTCTCCACAACGGGTGTCATCCCAAAGGATCTCCTCCGTAGCTTAAAATTATTACAACTAAAAGAAACTCTATATATTACACTTCAAAAAGCAGCTATATTAAATACATGCAGAATAGTTAGGAAATTCATGCAGATAGAAGAAAACGAAATAGGACCTCATCAAATCACATGAACTACACTACACACCACACGCTGCATTTGCTTTGGCTTCGGCCCGTAAATGTAGTTGAAATCCAGCCTAGAGCTGAGATGTGAAAACACTTACCGTAAATAATAATAATAATCCTTGATACTGCCCGCATCGTCCGCCGGTTTCTTTCCCTTTCTCCCTAACCCTTGGCCGTTTGGTCTCCCCTGCCGAGGGCTTCCATCTGGTTGGGCTTTTATTTATTTATGTATTTTTGTATTTATTTTATTTTATTGATATTTATGTATATTTATCCTTTCATTTTCGTTTATAATTATATATTTATACATCCCAACCAGATGAGAAAACTATATAGATACCCCACACATAATAATAATAATAAAGGCGTAGGGAATTGACGACCCCATCGCCCGCTGACGTAACAGTTAAGTGACAAAACTGCTACGTCAACGCAGTCAGTCAGCGCCTTGCGAGAGGTGTGAGCGCCGTGCCTCGGCAGAATTTAGGGTGCAGAGGCCCGTTTGTGCTTATGGCTACACACGAAACGGTGCCGGGCCTGGGCGTCTCCCGTTAATGGACGCCCAAATAATGGATGATGGATAAGAAGACAGTGCGCAAAGGGCCGCTGCCTGGGGGTCGTCTGGAGCTGGCGCTGGACGCGGCAACATGCGGGCCGCCAGCCGAGCGCGAGGAGCTGCACGGTCACCTAGCAGCCCTCCGCATCCATCATCCCCACCAGAAGGCTTGGTGTCGGCTGGGTCTTCTCGGACTCAGCAAGCGGCACCCGCCGCTGGTGGAGCACGTCGCATGCGTTGGTCACAAGCAATGAATGCAAACGCACTGCGGGCGTACTTTAAGGCAAAAGGGGAAGAAACTGGATGTTTGGCGTATCGGGCTAGGATGCATCGTCTTTTTGCTGAGCTGGAGCCATCTTTAACCGTCACAGAGCAAAACCTGGCAGACCGAGTTCGGTATATCTTGCGCTCAAATATATTTGATGTCGCCGAAGTCGAACGGCTACGACGTGAGGCTGTTCCCTCGTCGGATGAGAATGCTACGGCTGATGATGCGGCGCCACAAATGATAGAGCAACCCGCAAACGTGGATGCCGCCGTGAATACCCCAGTTGTGGTTGATTCAAACGATGATGGAACAATCGCCCAGGAACTGGAATTAGAGCATATGAGGGTACATTGGAAGAGGCGATTGTGGAAACGCGCAGTACGCCTCTCGAAAATCGACCGCGACTTCCCCGCATAGCCCTAAGCAAGCGGAATCGGGCTGTCGTAAGGGCTCTGACCCAATGCTGGTGACCTATTTGGAAGCCAGCCGGGACCTTTGCGAGACGGACTCAATTCTTTTTGGCGCCGCGCTGGCAGTCTGCCGTATCATAGGCGCCAAGGTTTCCACGGCTGGACGCGCTACTGGCCATAGTAGCGCTATCCCAGCATGGAGAAGAAGAATTGAGGAACGTATCGCAAAAGCTAGAGCTCTCATCGGCAGACTGATATGCTTCAGATCAGGCAACAACAGGCCAAGAATTGTGCGCTCCGTCAGGATGGCGTTTGCTGGGACAAATGTCAGTTTGTCCCAGCCGGATATAACGCAAAAACTGACGGAGCGCATAGATGATCTGAAGCAGAGAATCGCTGCTTGGGGAAAGCGGATTCGGCGATATACCGAGAGGTCGACACGGTTCAACCAGAATCGTCTCTTCCAGAGTGATCAGAAGAGGCTCTATGAATCATTGGAGCGACCAATGGTAAGTGGAACGGGTCCAGCACCGAATCAGGCCGACACTGTAGCATTCTGGCGCGGCCTGTGGTCAGAGCCCGTAAACCACAGCGAGGGCCCTTGGACGGAAGTTGTGGCGAGTCAGTGTGCGGGTATTACGCCCATGAACCCCGTCATCATAACGCCGGATGACGTAGCTGAGGCGGTCCGTAGGGCCCCGAACTGGAAAAGTCTATCAGCCTGGAGAAAAAGAATTGAGGACCGTATCGCAAAGGCAAGGGCCCTTATCGGCAGACTTACAAGCTTCAGGTCGGGTAATAATAGACCGAGGATTATGCGCACCGTTAGGATGGCGTTTGCTGGGACAAATATCAGTTTGTTCCAACCGGATATCACGCAAATCTAACGGAGCGCATAGATGACCTGAAGCAAAAAATCGCTGCTTGGGGGAAGCGGATTCGACGATTTAGCGAGAGGTCAAGGCGGTTCAACCAGAATCGTCTCTTCCAGAGTGATCAGAAGAGGCTCTATAAATCATTGGAGCGACCAGAGGTATGTGGAGCGGGCCCAGGACCTGATCAGGCCGACACTGTCGCATTTTGGCGTGGCCTGTGGTCAGAGCCCGTAAACCACAGCGAGGGCCCTTGGATGGAAGTTGTGGCAAGCCAGAGTGCAAGTGTTACGCCTATGGATCGCCTAGGCTATATGGATTTACGGTATATTTGTATTCGGCCAAATATTCGGCTAAATCACCAAACATACGTTAAAGTGGTACTCAAAGTGTCCACTGTATTTAAACCATGTGTTTCATAAGTTTTCCGTTGAAGGTATATTTTATTTAAGGCTTAAATATACTTGTATAGCGTTATGTTTTTCAGGCACTGTAGATTTATTTCCTTTTGAAATACCTTTTTATTTCTCACAAAAGTAGTCAAAACAAGCATGTGCCGGCAATTTGCTCAGTATTAGATGATGCAATAACATGACAGGTGTGGCGGGAAGCGATATGCAAGGTCCGGCGCTAATCACGCTTTCTTTATGGTAACAAGTTTCGACATATTAAATTGGTTAGGTACCGAGTTGATCCTGCCGACTATATTACAATTAAAAAATAAGAGAAAGTGGTATGTCTGGACGGTTTTTTGGCGATCGATCGTGTAACGCATAAGTAATTTTCTTCTTTTTAATTTATTACAGTTTAAAATAACATTACAAAGTTATAATGCAGCTAGTTTTAGGTAATTTTCTATGGTATTTTAACGAAAAATTTACTTATCCATATGCAGTTTATGATTTGGCCGACTATTACTCGTTAACTTACTAAGCCTACTTAGCTGTATTAGTTTTCATTTCAACTTCATTAAAAGTAACTATCGTGTATACTTTTCACATTTTAATCACGAAAAAATTTTGTTCCATACTCCCAATATATTTGAAAGAGTTATCCATCGACACTCCACACGATGGAATAAAAGTAAAGTTAAAGTAAAGTTACAGCCTATATACGTCCCACTGCTGGGCTCAGGCCTCCCCTCATTTCTGAGAGGGTTTAGGGCAAGGAGTGTCCGCCGCGCTGCCCAAATGCGTGTTGACGAACTGCACATGTCTTCGAATTTTTTTTTCTTATTCCTCAGACATGCAGGTTTCCTCACGATGTTTTCCTTTACCGCCGAGCACGTGGTAAATCAGCACTTAAAATTGCAATTAACAATTTCATAGGTGCCGGCGGGGATCGAACCCGGGTTACTCGCGTTCTGTTATATTTACAGCGAGCGTTAACCACTGAGCTACCACGGCTCGATGGAATAGACGGGTAAAAAAATCGCTTAAATGAGTGGTACACTAAATAAAAATGTTTTCAAGATTTGATTATCAATAATTACTATGTAAAATTAAAGTTTATAAAATTAAATTAAAAATGGTGCAATAAAGAAAATAAATTATTTGAAGCTGAAGATAGGTTAACTACGTTATTGTGAAGTCAACTACCTCAGCCCCCCCCCCCTGTGACAATGGCTTTTGTAAGGTACTCGAAACGTCGGAAATATAAAAAAGTTAATAAAACGCGTCAAATAAACGCACTTGGCCAGTTTTTTTATTTTAATGTTTTTTCTTCCTCGTATTCCTCTTTGTAAAAATACGATTTAGTAATCTTTAAATTAAACAAGTGGTAAAGTTATAATTGTTGTACAAACGACATCAATATAAATAAAATGACAACATCAATGTAATCGAAGTCAGTTAAATACGTATTGACTCAAGAACTACTGGTCAGATCTCAATCAAATTTATATAGGGACAAAACATCAAAATTGGTTCACCAAGCACACCAAGCACATATAAAAAATACAGTCGAATTTAGAAACTTTTTAAAGTCGATCGAAAATAAGATAATAGCTAAAGCTATTTTTAAAACTTGTATATGGTGTGGCCTGTGGTGAAATGTATCTACATTTTAATTCTTAATAGACTATAGATGTAAGTGTCTATTGTGCTACGGCTTCTATTTACCATCGGGTGGAGTATGTGTCAATTTGTCATCCTTATTCCATGAAAAAGTACGTTGTCACCCCTGAGTACTAAGACGGAAACCTCATTACCGGTTAAAAGAAGAGAGAAAATCTCCGTTTCCCTACACTTACTATAAAAAAAAACAACCTCATTACTCTACTATTATGCACTTATATTCTGTGCTAAAATATGGCGTAAAACTGAGCTGGAAACTGTTTCAACACAATCGACTATTTACTTATTATTTTATTACATAGTACTACTACTTGAATAATATAATTTACTAAACATAAGCAGTATAAAATTTCCGAAGCTTTAGCTCGCTCATCAACATTGTTCGTTTGTCTACCACAATTATTATGAAATTCTGTAAAACTTTATTCTAAGTTACGCTTTTGAAGATGTTAGCAACTCGCATTGTTTTACTTCAACATTGTTAAGGTAAAAGTAGGCATTCGGCTTAAATAGCCTTAAACAATTAAAAATCAGCTTTCACTTCTAAACAAGCTATCTTAAAAAATCATATCAATATATTATTTAATTAGTTGTAAGTGATATTTTTCCAAATAGGTCGTATAGCTCCGTCCACTTGGTCATATAACCAGTATCCATATAAGTTTTTTTCTTATAAAAGAGGGGGGCAAACAAGCATGCGGCTCACCTGATAGTAAGTGACTACCGCCGCCCATGAACAACCACAACACCAGGGGAATTGCAGGTGCGTTGCCGGCCTTTTAAAAACGAGTAGGCTCTTTTCTCTGATCGAAGTCGTATCGGTCTGAAAAAATCGCCGGTGGTAAACAATTCCACAGAGAAGTTGTACGAGGAAAAAACTCCTAGTAAAACGCACAGTGGTGGACAGATGGTGAGGATGGTATCTTGAATTTTGACGCGACGTGCTTTCATGAAATATGGCGGCTGGGATTAATCCGAACAATTCCTCAGAGCACTCCCCGTGGTAGATGCGATAGAAAATGCAAAGGGATGCAACATGGCACGCAGCGCCAGTGAATCGAGCCGATCGGAAAGAACTCGGTCGTCGACGACTCGAAACGCTCTGCGCTGGATGCGGACAAGTGGAAGGAGCTGGCAGTGGATCACTTTGTCCAGTTGAATCCGTGGATAATTTTTCATGCGGTCGGAATTAAGTTATGCAAGACCCGTCGCAGTAAAACCTAAAAACTCTACAATCACACTCTTTATGCCAATAACACCTCTGTTAATAATTACAAAAAAACAGGGTTGTTTCAAATGTCGCAATGTTTAAATTTTAGTCTCTTCAAGTATACGTCTTTATGAGGCCGTATGAGGACACTCACTCACTTCTGAGGACTCAGTGAGCTATGGAGGTGCTCGGAGTTTCTCTGCGTGGATAGACTCACAAATGAGGATATCCGCAGTAAAACCAGAGTGGCCGACATAGCCTAACGGATTAGTAAGCTGAAGTGGCAATGGGCCGGCCATATAGCTCGAAGAACTGATAACAGATGGGGAAGAAAGGTTCTCGAGTGGCAGCCTCGTACCGGTAGGCGTAGTGTAGGGCGACCCCCACTAGATGACATGACGTGTGTGTGTCGACACGTCACGTCATCTAGTGGGGGGTCGCCCCGGTAAGAGTGACGACCTGGTAAGACATGCAGGAAGTCGATGGATGCAGGTGGCTCAGGACCGTGCTTTGTGGCATTACTTGGGGGACGCCTATGTTCAGCAGTGGACTTGTGAAGGACTGTAATGATGATGAAGTATACGTCTTTTAATATCTATAACGCAACGCGCAATTACTGTTTAGATTGAAATAATCAGTTTAATCTGCATGGGTGGGTAAAGGGTTTTACCGTTTCATTACCGTCAGTCCATAATCAGACGTAATTCATTATTCAATGTCTACATTTTGCTTTGCGTAAATTGTAACGTAAGTATAATTAGAAACTTCAAATTGAAAATTAAAAGAAAATGTTAATTAAGGTTTTGAATTCTGTTTACTTAAGTAATAAATTATATCTTTATAACTTTTGCTTCTTTTATTATAACATACTTTCGTCTGTGAACATAATTAAGAAAAGCTATTTTGTTAACATTCACTCAAATTAAATTAATAGTCTGACAACAAAGTCTTTCTCAAGTTCTTTTATCTTGGCTAGACATTATGTGACTCTTCTTTAGACTTTTTTACCATGTGGTTCACATACACATACCCTTCGCCAGGTTATACAGGACACTTAAAAAAATAATGTGCCGTCATGTATACCGTCTACTATAGGGTTTTAGGGCAAGAAAGTGTCCGCCGCGCTGCCAATACTAACCAATACTATCCATATTTATCCATTGCAAGCACGATGAGTTGTCAACATTCATGTCATGTATTATGGCGTGTAAAACTCCTGAGTGCTGAAATGTAACGATTTTTGTACTAAATAACTTACTGCCGTAGTCGCAAGTATAAATGTTTTGCCGTAATTTAATGCACTCCTACAGTGCAAAAATAGTCGCACTCAGGACTATTTTTGCACTATCAAATCCTGAGTGCGAGTATTTTTGCACTGTTTTTTGAGACTGAGCCCGAATGAACTGTAACATTTTCTGAATGCCTGAAGTTTTGTGCGCGAGACGGATGAGTATGTTGTCTTGAAAATATAATTGGTTTAGCCGTTTTAATTTAACTTTATAATTAAATAAATAAATATTTTTACTTAATTTAAAGTTTTAATTAAATATATAAATAATATTTCACATCACACCACCTAACAGTCGAGTTCGAGCCCCTCCGATACCGTTGTAATTGTTAGCTGCAATTTTAAGAACTGATTTATCACGCGCTTGGCATTAAAGAAAACGTTTAAAAGAAATCTGCACCTCGAAGAAATTAGAATATTCGAGGACATGTGGGGTTCACCA